GAATAACTGTTTACTTGATCATTAGGTGCTGAAGCATGTCGTTCTACAAAATTACTTTTTTAAAGATTGTTTGTAATGTTTTACTGATTTAGGATGAAGCTGGTGAATTATGTTCAATGCCATATCGAGCTCCAGAACTTTTTGTTTGTGAGGTCGGTTCAACAATCGATCAATCTGTAGATATTTGGGTTTGTGTTATTCTTAGCAATTTTCATTGCAGTTAAACTTAAGCTTCTTAAATATAATTTCTAAATGCTATCAGTAGACTAAAAAGCAAGGAAGGAAATCAAATTTCAGTCACTTGGTTGTCTTTTATTTGCTTTATGCTTCTTCCGCTCACCATTTGATGATATCTATGAACGTGGTGACAGCATTGCACTCGCTGTTCAGTCAGGGAAAATTACTTATATTGAAAGTCATCCGTAAGTCCAGTTTGCACTGTCTAGAATAGAAAATTGAAATCTTTGCCCTGAGACTTCTAGTTTTTACAGTAAGTATAAAAAAGGAACAACGCAGAAGATTGTTGAATTGATTTCACTTTTTCATATTGAAATTTAAACTTTCATTTGTTCTTAGGTACAGTCAAAAAATCCTAGATACAATCCATGCAATGATAGCTGTCGATCCAAAGAATCGACCAAGTATTACTTCTGTCTGTGAGCTGTTGGAAGGATCCTAGTTAGGTAAAAAAAATTTTCAAAATAATTATTTCCTAGGTTTTCTATTTTTTGGATTCTCTGTTTGCTGCTTTAAAAAATCAAGCGTACTAAAACACACCTTTCGTGACGAATTTTTGACATCAGAATCAATTCCGTCAAGTCAGCCTCCCTTCTCCTCCTCCTTTTCCGCCCTTCCATCCTTCTATATCTCATGCGATAAAAAACAGAGTCACTCACAAATTCGGTCAGTGTTCTGAATTTTAGGAAGTAACTTCTAATTGAATTTATTTTGTCAGCTCTTCAACTAGAGAAAGCGTAAATCCGTTTTCCTATCTTTTTTTTTTTTAAATTCAGAACTATTTGATCTATTGCTCACTCTCCACAGTATTTTCATGGAAAAATTGTTGAGATGCATTTATTTAAAGATTTCATCATCATTAAGGAGTATGTCCATGCTTTTGTTGATCACTTTTTGCTATCCTCGAACTTGTAAAATTTAAAAAGAAAGGACTCAGTTATCCAAGTTTAATGACAAAAAATATTTTAAATGATGACAGAAGATCCTTGATCTTTCGTCATTTTAATCCTTGAAATTTGTATCACTATTGTATCACTTGAATCTAAAGAATATATTCCAACATCACTACAAATGCATATGTAAGTACCAACTTCTTGTGATTTTTTGTATTTTCTGTTACCATTTCCTCGAATTCTTGTCAAATTCTAAAAATCTAGAGAATTTCCATATATATTTATATATTAATATCCATATCTATATATCTATCTATCAACTATCATTAATGAAAATAGCCGGAAAATGAAATGGCAATATGGTGAACGTTTTTACAGTAAGCTAGAGATAAGTTTTGCAGTTGTGATGTATGCTATGAAGTGGCACTATGAAGATCGTAAGCAAAGGGAAACCAAGCTAGGATGACAATGCATCGTCGAGGTTGAAATGATACTTTGCTAAAATGTTTAAAAGTGAAAATGGATATTTTCATTGTATTGTTTTATGAATTCAAAGCTAAAAATTTTTTCAAAATTGACAAAGTAAAGTACTAATACATAACGACTCAAAGGCATTTGGAGGGGATCAAATATAAAATCAAGGAGAAACGGTAAGCCATATTCATTCGAACAAAGTTTTGGAAAAAAAGATTTCCGAAAGTGTCTGCTTGAAATTTTCAATCTGCCAGTTATAAATCTTACATGCGATGCAATAAACAAATGCTAGGAAGTAGCAAAATCTTCGGACGACGAATGGAAAGATGGTGTTAATTGAGCAAAGCTTCACATTTACCAGATTGTCTGCTATTCGTACTTCCTGTACGTTACCAACGAAATTTCATTAATATCAAGCTTTTGAGGTCCTGATCGAGGAATAGCGAGCAGTAGTCATTATCATTACAAAGTTTTCTGGTTTGGGAATTTTGGATTCGAGTTTTGGATACTAAATTTTTGAATTCGAATTTTGGATACTAAATTTAGCTTACTAAGAAATGTTCCGATTTTTTCCGACTTTATACTTACTTAACCAACTCAGATTTGATTAATCAAATAAGTGAAAAGGAAACTGGCAAGAGATTCTAATGAAGGGATTCATAAGTAAAGATATAAGTCTTTGCTGCTTGAAGGAAAAAGATACTTTAAGTCGTCTTACAAAATACTGCTTATATGATTCGGAAGTTGCATGACAAATTACAATTAGCTCATTATCACTGGATAGTGAAATTAGTGAACGTATGTAGAGATATAATTGCGAAGTTTCACGGCTTGAAGATTGACCATATTTATTCGCATGTTTTACGATTTGAAATGATTTCTGTGAAGTACTGATATCTCGAAACAACAAGTGATCACGTTATCAGATACAATCACACAGCTGACCCCGCACATCGTTAATGACCGTCAAAAATAAGTAGCCTGTAGGAATTCTGTGGATGAATCCATTGGAATAA